GTATTTCCATAAGTGGGGTAAAACTATGGAATAATTTAAGTGTAGACATAAAAAATAGTAATAGAATTGACGAGTTTAAACATAAATATAAAGGTATGTGTCAATCAAGATATATGCAAGAACAGGCTCAATGATTAATTAGATGGAACATTGTGGGTGTGGTGTATGAATGTTAACACTTTGTAATAATTCTTTAGTATATTACTTGTGTGGTGCAGAAAAAATGTAATTATGTAAGAATGTTAACACTATAATTTTTTTTTTAGTATAATACTTGTGTGGGTAGAAGTGAATCATTTACTGCTTGCAAACCAATGATGGTAAGATGATGTCATGGGGTAGGACTGAATAAGTCAGACTTCTTCCTACTCCATTCAAGCATGTACTAGGTATAAGCAAATTGATATTGGATTAGCATTTGTTGGATATGTGTAAATTATGTGTGTTGATATATCAACTGTCTTTACATGCTTGAAAGAATAAATCAAATCAAATCAAACATGTTTCTTTATAAATTAGAAATGCTGCAGTTGGTCAGATGCTACATACGTAGGCCATCCATGTAAAAACACCAGTCAACTGCAGAGGGTGCTGTATGGTGGGTTACAGTAGCAACGTCATGAAACTGAACAGCATTCAGAAATATTTTTATTCACAGGCTGTTTTCATTTACACACATGAAGTTTGTATTGAACATTGTGATACAGCTGTAATTTATTAGGTTTTGCTAAATACTTCCCAACACACTTTTGACTGTTATAAAAGGCTCTTTCTTGAGTTAGGAGAGTAAAACTGTTCTAACTCCAAAGCATGCTATGTACTGTATTAGTTGACGTGTATTAATAGTCAAATGAATGTAAAATGGTTATGACTGTGTTTATTGTATGTGTACTGATCTAAAAAGAACTGAATATATAAAAACACCAATGTTCATTGCAAGCGTGTTATTAATACAGTTGTAATATATTTTTAAAAAGCAAAGTTTTCAAAATGACCCTTATTTCATAATTTGTGGCAGCATGTTTAGATTAGCTCTTGCAGTTGGCCCGGACATTCATATATACTTTGTCGGCTGTGAAGAGAGAGAGAGAGAGGGAGAGCCCAGAATGTATTACTGGAAAGCACAAAGAACATAATAAGAGAGTGTGATGAATTTAATGCTATTAATGACCACAGACACTCTTGGCATTCACATATAAAAAAGAGGCCATTTACATATGTAAATAATAAATCAATAAATTACTCTTGGCAAAAATGGGCTGTGCATTGTTTTAAAAAGAAGCCAAAAAAGGCATGAGCAAAAGCCTTTGGGAGACCAAGCAATAAACTTGGATAAACCTTCATTATCACCGATGCATGTGACACGTAACACTGCTGATATAAACAGCACAGAAACATGACCAGTTTCAGCCCTGCTGCCTTACCATTCTTTATTTTCTTACGTTGAAGACCAGCACATCGGTAGGTGACAATGACAATGATAACGGTCAGCAACACGTCTGCACATATGATACCTGCTATTGTGCCTGGTTCAATCCTATAGCAAGACACAGTGTTGTCTGGCAAACACAGACAGACAGTGATGGTTAGGGTTTCACAGACAGAGTGCTGTGAAAGAGTGGCATGAAAAGAAGCAGGATGTAAAGATGCAAGTGGAAAATATGATTCATCTGGCATGTTTGTCTAACTGCATTTCTGTTGCATGTTTTTCTAAATGATAATATTCATGAAGACCAGTTATCAAAGGTGTGTATGGTCTCTTTGCTATACATACCTGTAAACACCACAGCCAGGTCTTAGAGATAGAAAAGAAAGAAACATGAGTCAGTCAGAGTTCAAACTTTTTTGCTGTTGAGACCATGCAGAAACACATCTGTCAGTTAAATTTCCGTTCTGCAAAATGTTTGTGGTTTCATTTTCCTGTGTCAGCCCACCCTAATTTTTCTGTTTATACAAACACATACTTACTGTGAAGAAAAATCAAGGCAGTGATCAAGTATTTATTGTATGCCATTGCCAAGTCTGTCAACTGTTATGTGGTACCTGAAAGATAAGAGATCACACTTTTTCTTGTGCTACATGCTTCAAAAATGTAGAAATCAATTCAGTTAACACTCTCACACACTGTTATATTTCACATCCTTACTATCCTTTAGATTTTACTGTATCAGATTTAGTATCAAAGTTTAATCATCGAATCTGTCTTCAACAGAAGTCTTTGATTTCATTTTGACATGCTGATTAAATAACTCCTGTGTCACAGTGAGTCATAGGTTGTTGTGTGGGCATCTGACAAAACGGAAATGAAAGAAATGAAAAATAATTTCCCTAAAAACATAAAAATATTGTAAAGCACTTAAAGCCCTATTAACTGTATTTCAATGTGGAAAACTTTATTCACAGTTGCATAAAACTGACTTTTTCCCCAGAAAATCTGAGTGTATATCTTCAACCTAAAACTACATGCAGACCATTGTGGTGCGACTTGACAAACATTAAATGGTTAAAAACTGAAATGAGGTAGAGAACGTCAATGTGAGTTAAAATCCTCATACCTGCTCAGTCTGTTGCAGTCTGGAATCCAAAAGATGATGTGAGACTAATGCTTCACTGATTTTCACTTTTGAGAGCTGACGTCAAAATGTCTTCCCTCCTCTGGTGGGCTGAAACATTGCCAGTTTGTTTCTGTGAATACACCGTTTGGCAAATTAATGGCTGCAGATTATATCTGTCTGATTCCTGGTGGTTTAACCATGGAAAAGAAAGTATAGATTAAATAGTGAAATACACTTTAATATCCAGGAGGAGAAATCTCCCTTGGTGTTTTCACTGCAGTTACACACTAACTAAATAAAACATACAATGTCCAGGCATAAAACAGTGCAAAATACAGTGGCAAAGAAGCACAAACTATTGCACAAACTCCAAGCCAGCTGCATCTTTTATGTCCTTCACTTTAAAATGCCAACACTTCTAGGTAATAAAATAAAATAAAAAGTGAATTTATAGCTGGATTATAAAAGTTGGCCCTCACAGGGGAGAGCATGATCATCATCTGGGCCTGTTTTCTAAGATGTTGCTCAGAGATTAACTGGAGAAGAATCAGCGCCACCACTGTGTCTGTACTATCACTTTACTGACTCTTAGTGGCCAGACGCCATCAACAGCAAGTGTGTGTTTTACTTGGTAACAGATACACTCAAAATGACACTCAAAGATTAATGATTTTATAAGACAAGTTTTCAAACACCCATTTTAGGTCTATTTTCAAAATCTTCAAGTGTTTTAAGGTTGCATAGTTTAACTGTGAGACAGGTACTTCATGTGCATATTTGCCTTTGAATTAGACTGATTCTGAGTCTTTTGAACAGCAGAGGGAGCTGTGAGGCTTCTTATCACCAGTATGTAGCACTACAGATTGGTGAAAATCTCTTAATACCCTTCAAGTTTCACAGTTTGGCTCCTTGTTATTTTTCTGCTTTTTCAATTTCCACTTCGTTCTTTGGACTAAAAGTACCTTCCGACGAACAAAAATGTCTTAAATGGTCTTAATCAAAATAAAGCACACTGGGCTAGGAACAATTTTACTGACTATAAACCAGTTACGTAGTTTATTTATTTATTTATGAGTTTACACGGTAAAAGAGTGTAGAGAGACAAACTTTAACGATTCTTTAAAAAGCAGCCATGGTTACATATGTTGTATGTAACCTTTATCAATGAGAGACTGGGAAATAGAAGTTGATGTAAAACCTCTAGTACAGCAATTTTGTCTTTTTCGGTAGGGTAAGGTGCTGATCACCATAATGAGGCATACAGCTATATTTTCTTTGATTCTTTCTTTGAGTCTTTGCTTCTTTTTGTTACTTTTTATTTATTTATCTCAGGTAAATAGAAAACAATTGACAAATGATCAGAGAACTTATTAATTTGAAAGTCATGAGTTTAACCCCTGAACATCAGTTATATTTTAATTCTGCTGTTCACTGGCCATGTAGCTGCTCTTGGGCCACAATCCCAGTCCCGGTCTTAGGTCTGTCCCGTGTTTTCCTGTCATTCCAGACCCAGGCCCTTGCCTTTGTCCTTTACTACCTGCTATGCCCCACTTCACTTGCTTCCTATCCATGCGATCACCCAGTCAGTATTTAAACCAGCAGCCAGAGTTTATTCCCTGCCAGACTGTCCACATAGAAATGTCTCTTGTCACTGTCCAGTACTTGTTTTTGTATGCTTGTTTTGTTGTTGACCTGTTTCTCCATTTGGACCCTGACGTTACCTGCCCCCGTTTTGGACTGCTGGACTCACCTGTACTCAGAGGCTAATTCCTCCTTGTATCTCGTCAGTTGTGCATCCCTTCTTTGATCAGTCAAACTCACCTGTGTATGGTCATTGTTCCTGAATCTGGGTGGTTGCCTGCTTCCTGCCCATCTGTTTGCGTTTACCAACCAGTTCAATGATGAACTACTTCGCCTGTCTACTACAATTAAGCCTGCTCCCTGTGCTGCTCTGTTTGGTGTTTCCTGTGTGTTACAAATCCAAACCTGGTTACCCCTCCACATCATTTGTCTTATTTGCCCAAGCTTCCTAGCAGAAAGTAATTACAGTACTTAGTTAAACCCTCTGAGTCGCCTGCTAACTCAACAGTATCTGCTCCGTGTCCACCACCATTGCTCCAACTACTTCACTGTTTCTCTGGTTCTGCATTTGCAAATACTGAAGTGGGACAAGTGTGTATGTTTTCACCTTTGAAACAATCTGCAAAGCTATGTCTGTCAGAACCTGACAAGGTACTGACAAAAATAAATAAATGATCATAGCCCATAGTTTTGATCATAGTTTTCTTCCATTCTCACTTTTAATTCAGTAGTCTGTGTGCATTTTTAATTGTTTTCACACATTTTTTAATTTTGTTAAGGCTAAAATTTGCTATTATTATTTGTTTCCCATTTTACCTCTCTCTATATGTGCAAGTGTTTATGTTACTCATTTGCAAGTGTTTATGTTACTCATTTGGCAAAAACAGATTCATTAATGTGTTCCAGTATGATGCCTGGCTGTTTTTGAGGTGACACAGAGGTTCCTGTGGCACTGTCTATATAGGGTACCAAACAGAAGCACATAATCTTCATGTCAGAAAAACAAAACTCAACTCAAACTCAAAACTGAAACACACATACACACAGGTGGACAGGTATGGCATAAGAAGAAATGTTAGCTTCAACTTTCTAAAGCATTCGCAATAATACTGGACCAACCATTTAAACTTAATTTACACTAAAGACAAAACATTTTGATTGGCTGATTTACACACTGAATTACATTTATTCAAGTACGGTACTTAAGCAAAACTTTGAGGTACTCTATTTGATCACCTCCATTGTTACAGATACTTACTGTACGCATCTTTAAGTTTCAGGGGCAAACATTATGTGAACATTACCCCAGTATGATAGCTTAATATTCAACATGAGATCAACTTACACAGTAGGATATATTATTATAAATTAACTTACCAAACAATTAATTAGTAAATTTCAAGTTAATACATAAGTATAACATCCACTGCTTAACTGTGCTCTGCTAACATTCTGTACTTCTACTTTAATGGTGCATTCAGAATGCAGGCTTGTGTTATCTTTACCTTGTGGTTTTGTTACTTTTAATGAAACATTCTAAGTGCTTCTTTCACCACTGTCACTAATTATAATGTACCTTTCTGTTTCTTTGTATACTTGTAAGAGTTGTTTGCTCTTTTTTCTTACATTCTGCTGAGTTTTGTCTAATTCTATAACCTCTGGTTTGACACACTGTTGAATGTGTGGCTTCCCCTCTGCTAGAGGGCGTGGACCACAGCTGGGCGCGGCGATGGGGAACAACGTGCTCTGTGTGTACAAGCAGAAGCAGTAAGACAACAAGCCAGACACAGACGTCAGGCTACCAGAAGATCACACGACAGCGCAAATCCCTCCGGCTCTGTAAATCCATTCATCCCCTTTTTGAAGAGATTGCTGGCCAAGACGACAACCTGCTGAAGACTTCCAAGCAAAAACCGTTTCTGACATGCACTTTGATAAATGTGAGTATATGTGCTTTTTAATTTGTTAATTGTGGGAGAATATAAGTATTGTTGCTGGTATCTTGCTTCATGTTAAACACACTGGTTAGGTTTTATTTTGATTTCATTCAGGACTTTTGATCTTAAATCTGACTGATATTATCCAGTGTGTTTTAAAGTATTTTCTACATAACAAAGTTATATATTTTGGGTTAAATCAAGCTTATCTTATAGTCTACATGAACTATTCTGTTTTGACTGATACCTTTATGTACTTGCCTTTATCTAAGTTCTCACTGGATGAAAGTAAAACGCGGGTGAATCCAAGAGTCTTGTCATCATTTGGGGAAACCCTAATGCACGTAAACCCTCCATGTCTTGTTTTCATTTCCCCTTTTTTGACTAATGCTGGCAATACAAGCAAGCTGTGTGATGTGACAGCTTTATTTGCTTTGCTTAACTTTCTTTGTTCATGCCTTTCTTGACACCGGCCAGACTGATTACATGTTTTGTCGGGTGCGCTAGGTCTGTTAAACCACAAAAATGAGGAAGCTGGCTCTGCACTGCTTCGTTTTTCTCTCTTAATCCGGGCCAAAAGAGAAAGGTCGTCGGAATCCCCAGCCTCCCACGCACATGACTCAGTGTCCAGGGGTTTCCACAACCCCTATTTGAATATAGCACAGAGTAGCCCAATGTGTGGGGACAGCTAGTGTAAACCCAAAATGTATGTGTGAAAGTGGGCTAAGTTGTCCCCTTTCTTTTGGCAAGAAATTAAAAGCCATTTCCTCATTTCTAGTTTCCCTCAGCTGGTGAGCAAGACCACACTTTGATGATGGTTGTGAAACGACTAATGTAGTTTAGTTAGATATGGTATTATATCATCAGTGAAAAGGCCAAAGGTAACACCTTTTCAAAAAGATCAAATGAGTCAGGATTGAGTAACCTATAGTAACACCTTCTAAACTTGAAAATGAAACTTGGTGAAATGTACTGACTGATGTCATGTATTCTGATAAAGTGTCCTTGATTATACTGTGGGGTACATCACAGAGAACAGCACAACGGTTTATTGTTTGGGAAGATGGAAGTGAGATCATTGTTTTTTTAGAAGTGAGAACAGTCAGAGATCTAAACTAGAACACGCATTCCTCTCTCACCTGGTATAATTAGCATTTTTCGGAAGTACACCCTCCTTGTATATGCTCTTTTGATTTAGCTGATTTGTCTGTGTGTGTGTCTGTGTGTGATGTAGTACAGTAGTCAACATTCACAGAGTAACAAAGAAATGACCATATCACTCTCCTGTTCTGCCTCCCAGACATGTAGGTACAATAGAAAGCACAAGGCAACTTCACGTGTTGAGGTGACACGCCTGTGACACATCAAAGGCAGGAAGACGTGGTTTGTATTTCTGTTAGCGTAACGGAGCGAGACAGGAAGCTGTCACAGAAAATAAGTAGTGGCAATCCCATGCTAAAGGTTTTTCTGATTAATCTGTTTGGTTTGCTTGGCCACATGCACTGTGTTCCTAATGGAGGAGGTTTTTGACAGAGCTTTATCTTTGTACTTTGGTTCCACATACAGGGTGGAAAGATCACTTTCTTTCACATGTGGGACGAGGTTTTTGAGGAAACAACCTGTGTGGTTATATCATGTCTGTTGGAAACATCAGAATTCTGTTTTGTAATGTGTTTTTCCTATTTTTTTTGTTGTTTTCTTTACCTGTTTGATGGAAATTATACTTTTTCATCAGCAGGGGGAAACAGTACTCATATTATAGTGGATTTATATTAATGTTTGAAGTTGAGCATACAAATGTCACTATGGAGAAAGTGAGCAAGCATCATCCTCCGAGTGACAGTGTTGTGATCTCACTGTAAGAACTGGGTCAACCCTGCATTATTCAAAATCGGTAATCTAGGCTTACAGCATGATTTATATTTCACTTTTCACTGGTTGTATTTATAGTACATTTTACTCCCAATAAAGTCAAGCTCCTCGTGTTGAGAGGAGAAGTGAAAGTATAGACACTGTATTCTAGTAAATAAAGCTAAGCCAACAAGGCTAATCTAAATGATCTAGTTTATTATTATTTAGCTGAAATATTTTGTGATTTGTAGCTATGACGAGAGAGATAATTTGCCAGTGAAAGCTCAGCCTGTCTACATAGCCTAGATAACATTCAAATGTTTTAGCTTTTGATTGGTATACGCAGTGGTTATATCTGCAGTTCATTGCACTGGGGTGATTGCTGTGTCCTGCCATAGAAGCTTGGATTGACTGTTGATTAGAGTGATGGCATGGGGGGAAGAAACTGTCCTTGTGCCTGGTTGTTTTGTTGCACAGTGTCCTCTAGTGCCTCCAAAAACAAGTTTGTTGTTATTGTTGTAGAATAGGGTATATAGCTGTTTCCTAAGCTGAACTAATTACTGTATTCATTGCTTCAGTGGTTCACACAAAAATAATTAGCAATTACTATAATAATTGATTAATCAAAGTTTTCATAAACAGCAACAATCTCTGGTTCCACCTTCTCCAATGTTAGCATTTCCTGCTTTACTCAGTGTTACACCTCTCTAAATGAAATATCTGGCCTTTTTTGTGCTAATTTCTGAAATTATATAGATGGTTAATTAGCTAATTGAAAAGAAAATCAATAGATAATTGAAGGATTAAAACAAACATTAACTGCAGTCCTAACATGTCCTAATGTCTGAATCTTGTTGATCAAACATATAAATTGTCTCTTTTTCATCACATGAACAAAATATATTACTGAGTTCTGATTCCTTTTTTCACTGTTTTCTCAGCACCGAAGGAGAAGCCGTGTTGCACTCTGCCCACAGTGAAGAAACTCTTGGAGGAGAAGAGAAAGCGTGAGACGTCCTCTGTGCCACCTTCCTGCGCTACAGCCAGTACAAGTCCTGTTCCTCCAAATTCTGTTACAGTACGCCAACACACAGCGGCTCAGTAATATCTTACTGAATATTATATCAAGCACAAAGAAAGAGTTGTTTATTTATTTATTTATTTATTTATTTTCCTCCCAACAGCTCTCCACATCAGAACCATTTACCTGTACAGGTAAGAGCTGGACCTTTTCTCCTTTTCTGCACAACACTTACAGGAGATGGATTCTATATTTTTCTTATTGTAACCAATTCCCATAAAAACACAAAAACCAACAATGAAGTGATTTCAGCAAATACTGCATATGTAGCTAAAGCCATATATGTTATTCCTTGTTGCCAGAGACCTCCACCAAAACTAGTGAGTGCAACTGTTTCTGGGTCACATGTTCCTTTATTAAGATTAACATGGAAACTGTAGTTTTTTTTTTTGAGTCTGTCCCCCACACACTGCCCTGCAGTTGTAACTATGCATTGTGTCTACAGTGCCCAGCTGTTTCAGAAATGACCTAGCTTTAAGATAAAAAATGTATGTATTGACCTATTCGACCGATAGTCGAACCTCGGATTCAGAAGGAACAATGCGGTTTTCGTCCTGGCCGTGGAACACTGGACCAGCTCTATACCCTCTTCAGGGTGGCGGAGGGTTCATGGGAGTTTGCCCAACCAGTCCACATGTGTTTCGTGGATCTGGAGAAGGCATTCGACCGTGTTCCTCGCAGCGCCCTGTGGGGGGTGCTCCGGGAGTACGGGGTCCGGGGCCCTTTGCTAAGGGTCGTCCGGTCCCTGTACGACTGGAGCAGGAGCTTGGTTCGCATCGCCGGCAGTAAGTCAGACTTGTTTCCAGTGCATGTTGGACTCTGGCAGGGCTGCCCTTTGTCACAATTTCTGTTCATTATTTTTATGGACAGAATTTCTAGGCGCAGCCAGGGGCCGGAGGGAGTCCGGTTTGGGGACCACAGGATCTCGTCTCTGCTTTTGGCAGACG